TGGAGTCTCACTCTGTTGCCCAGACTGGAGTGCAGTGGCCACTCCCGGCCACCGCAGCCTCGACCTGCTGGGCTCCGGCGATCCTTCTGCCTCAGCCTTCCAAGTAGCTGGAATTACAGGCATGCGCTACCACGCCCGGCTGATTTTTTGATTTATTGTAGAGATGAGGTCTTGCTGCCCAGGCGGGTCTCGAACCCACGGGCTCAGGCAATCCGCTCACCTCAGCCTCCCAAAGGCACAGGATTACAGGCTGAGCCACCGAGCCCGGCTTCAATGAATTTTTTAAAGAATTTCTTCAAACAAATGTTTAAACATTCTTATTCAAAAATTGTACCTCATCTTATAGCATGCATTTTAGATACCTTTAACTTTACAACCAAGATGATACCAAGTAGCTCAATTCCCCTCTTTAAAATCAAATTCATCTTTGGAGGTTAAAAGATTTGCCATCATTGGGAATATTCAAATGGTGTACCTCAGGTTGTGAAAGCAGTTATAAAAGAAGAGTAGCAAAATATTTTGAAAAATGATAGCATGTTTGGAATAAGTATGGTTATCTACAGTGCTTTTGTATTTTGTGGTCTCTGTGTACATTATTTATATACATATGCATTTTTTAGGCATATGCATATACATATGCATTTATACATAAGCATTCCTAATTGTTGTATATCAAATTCTTGCCTATGTTTTTATTGTTTACTTTTGGACTTATCCTATTAACTTTGTACTGTCTTTAGGGTACCATTTATTTTATTGGTTGGGGTAATTGTGTTTTATTCCTGAGTATTGGCAAGTCTGTCCAAATTTTGTCCTGTGGCTACTACGTGGTGCGAGGAAAGAGTTACAAAATGTATCCCTGGAACTTAAAAATAGGCTGATATTTTGAGAATGCTGTAATTAAAAATCAGTATTCAAGTGAGAAGCTTAAACCTTATATATGTCAGAGATCATAGCCTGATATGAATTCTCTTTGTGTTAAAATGTTTATAGGTGCTTATATTAATAGCACTGAAGAAGAGTTGTGTCATTGAAAGGAAAATGCTTGATTTGTGAGCATAAAAAAATGGAGTTAGAGAGACAGAATTGCCTTGCAATTTAAAAACTTTCCAGGTAGAAGAGTACCCTGTCCCAAGGACTCAATTATCTGGCCTTGGTGTAGTCATGGTCCTATTGTAAAGATGAATTCATCGGTCATCACAGCTTATAACACTCCCTGTGTTGGGATTCTACACTCCCCAAGTAATTTGATTTTAATTTAGCCACTATGTCTACTTTTCCTCAGGGAATACTTGTTAGGTATTTTACATTATTTATTTGCATTATTTACATTATTTATTGGTACATTATTTATTTGCCATTCTTGTTTATATGTTAGTCACGTCTGTGAATTGTCCTCTCTGAGTCTTGTCTGCTCTGGGATAGTAGCAGGCAGGATTGAGTTTGTGGGGACCTGGGAGTCTAAGGGCCATAGAATTAGCAGAGAAATATCACCTGCTAATGTTTTTTGGTCATTCAACTGACTTTCCCCTAGCATGCCCTCTACATATTATTAGAACGTCACTTTCAACAGCATCATCTTTGTATTTGAGCATTTTCTCAGTTCCTTCACTCTAGTTATTGCTAAAGTTTAAACAAATTGAGTCCTGGGTCTTTAAAATAAATGATTCTTAAGAACCTGTATAAGAAGCAGGGAGTCATGTCACTTTAGTGAGTCTAAGCTCACTGTTCTTTCTGGAGAAAAATAAGTGAGTGGAAAAATGGATTGTATTAAATTGTTCTGTTTACTTGATCTTCCTTTTTTTTTTTCCTTTTGTTTTTTGAGTCAGGGTGTCACCCCGGCTGGGCTGAAGTGCAGTGGCATGATCACAGCTTGCAGCAGCTTCAACTTCTTGGGCTCAGGTTCTTCCACCTCAGCCTCCTGGGTGGTTGGAACTACAGGTGCATCTCACCACATTGTTAGTTTTTAAACTTTTTGTATAGACAAGGTCTTTCTGTGTTGCCTAGACTGGTCTCGAACTCCTGGGCTCAACCAGTCCTTCTGTCTCGGCTTCCCAAAGTGCTAGGATTATAAGAGCCACTGCACCCGGCTGATCTTCCTATTTTTGTAAAACAGAAGCATACCTATATATATCTTTAGAAATTCTCCTCTATGGTAAGTGGCAGCTATTTGGAAAACATCTACCATTTGAATTATAAAGATCTTACTCTGAAATGTTATAATCCTCAACATTTATTATTTATAGAATGAATATTGATTAATTCAGCATTTATTGTTTACCTTTGTACCAGAAAGAGTTGTAATCACTAAGACTATAAAGGTGATTAATGTGTTTTCTATACAGTTGAAGGGTGCCTCATTATGTCAAGATTAATGCCCATGTAAATAATTAGGACAAGTGCTACTTTAGAAGTATTGTGGAAAAGCAAAAGAAAGTGATTCTACATGGAATCATCTTAAAAGATGAATAGGAATTCCCTAAATGGAGAATTAGAGAGGATAGTTCCAGTATATAATAAAACCATGATGCTCCTCGCCCTGTGATGGGGTGATGTCCCAATAAACCCACCATTAATTTGAAAATATTGTAAGTCAAAATACGTTTATTACAGCTAACCTACTGAGCCTCACAGCTTAACCTAGCCTCCCTTAAGTGTATTCAGAACACTTAGTTTAGCCTACAGTTGGACAAAACCATCTAGCAACCCAGGACACTGTAGAGTATCAGTTATTCTCTTTCATTATCCAGTGGCTGACAGGGAGCTGCAGCTTTCTGCCACTGCCCCACATCTCAAGAAAGTATCATGCCTCATATTGCTGGCCCAAGAAAACATCAACATTCAAAATTTAAAGTATGGTTTCTACTGAATACATATTGCTTTTGCACCATTGTGAAGTAACAAATTCATAAAATCATGTCGAGCCACCATAACTTGGGTATTGTAGATGGCTGTTAGTAATGGTGAGAGATAGTGCTGAAGCTTAGCTTAATTTTTACAAGACTGAGAATTTGTAACCTGGCTTCCTGTTAAAATGGAGAGCCGTAATTTAAATAAGAGTAGCATTGTCAGCTCTATAGTGCAGAAAAATTTCTCTGCAAACAGTGGGAAGATGGATGAAAGACCACTTAGGAAAGGTTTTCAAGTAAGAAATGAAGAGAAGTTCAGCTAGAAGAGTGGGACTGAGGCAGGTTCAGGATATAATTTTGAGGTAGAGTCAATAGAACTTGGTAACAAATTAAATATTGGGGTTAAGGGAAAGATTGAATAAACTTCCAAGGCATCTGAAATAGTGCAAGTACCACTAAGCAAATTAGGTAAGAGAGAAGTCAAAGTAGTTTTAAGTGTTGGGTTTCAAATATGTTGAATGGCACTGTGTACTTCCACTAGGTAGAATAACGTTTAGGAGGGATTTGGGAACATAGATTAGGAACTGTCTCTCTTGGTGCTAGGTACTACTGTGTGTTATCTTAATTAATAAACAACTAAAAGGTAGTATTTTCTTTGACTTAAAATGATGGAACTAGCCGGGCTCAGTGGCTCAGCCTGTAATCCCACGCCTTTGGGAGGCTGAGGTGAGTGGATTGCCTGAGCCCGCGAGTTCGAGACTCGCATGGGCAACTTCGCAAGACCTCATCTCTACAATAAATCAAAAATTAGCCAGGCGTGGTAGCACGCGCCTGTAGTTCCAGCTACTTGGAAGGCTGAGGCAGAAGGATCGCCGGAGCCCAGCAGGCGAGGCTGCGGTGGCTGGAAACGGCCACTGCACTCCAGTCTGGGTGACAGAGTGAGACTCCAACTCCAAAAAAAAAAAAAAAAAATGATGGAACTTAGGGTCAGAGAAATGAGTCATTTGCCCAAGGTCATATAATACCATGATTTTTCATGTTTTCATTATCTGTTGTTATGTAACAAACCACTCCTTAAGTTTGTGACTTAAAGCAATGCTTATTTTCCATAGTTCTATGAGAGTTGACTGAGCTCAGCTAGAAGGTTCTAGGTTAGGGACTATCCTTTGACTGCAGTCAGATGGCAGCTAAAACTAGAAGCATCTGAAGGTTGAACCAGGCCTCATATCCATGGTGGCTTCTTTATTCCTGTATCTGGCATCTCAGCTGGAATGGCTGAAAAAACTGACAGAGTGAGACTCCAACTCAAAAAAATAAAAAATAAAAAAATAAGTCACAGGGCCAGCCAAGATTCAAGAGGAAGGGACTACACAAGGGCATGCCTATCCATGCCATCTTTGGATGCTAGCTTCTTCCATTCACTGTGCTGTCTTTGGAAATTATTTTTAGACAACTTGGAATCGGCCCAAAGAGTGACTGGCTAAAATGTGAAGAGGGTGCAAGAAAACATCTGGGAAACATGAATATTTGGAGGAAGACCTACAGTAGAGAAGTCAGGAAAAAAATGAACGACAGAAGACAGAAAGAAAACTTGGAAAACATGATGCAGCGGTGGGAAGGGAGTCAGTGTTGCCATAGCCATAGGTTCTTCAGTTTGTTTGTCATGTTACAATGGCCCTATGGTTTATATGTACTCATATAGATTACAATGACCCATTTAAAATACTGTGACCTTTGTTTTTTGTTTCCATTCTGCCCTACATGTAGATACCCAGTTGTTGCCTAAAATTTCACAGTTAGAACCTCAATAATAATCTAATGTGAAGCACTTATACTTTAAGTCATTTGTAAATTGTTGTGATTATATTTGGGATACTTTACTGAGAGAAGGCTTCCATAGAACTAGAAAGAATGTAGGGCTTTTGGCTTCCTACAGAGGAGGTTGGAAAGATGAGAGGTGTCTCCATAAAATAATGCAGGCAGAAGGTGAGCATAAGGGCACTCTTCTGCTGGTTTTGCTAGGATGTTCTTTTGAGTTCTAGGTAAGTATCAAGTTCCAGGCACCAAATTATACCACAGATAGAATGAAAGGTAAAATAGGGAATCTTTTTTGTCTATAATTAGTAATCACTGGTGTTTTCTTTATTTCAGAGCACAAAGTTATCATTGTTGGACTGGATAATGCAGGAAAAACTACCATCCTTTACCAATTGTGAGTATTAACCACCTTGAAAGTTTTATTTTGTTTCTAGTTAGTTTTTCTGCCTGGATGATAATCTGATCAGTGAAAGCAGTAAAAAATTACTTGGTACCTAAGTTATTCTTAAGAAAACGGCTTGGCCATAAACCAAGGGTAAGTTTAAGCAACTGTATACAGAGAGCTAGAAATTTACAACATTGAGCATACGGTTTAGTTGTTTTGCACTCAAGCTCTTTTGTTTTATAAAAAGTTGAAAAATTTTTGTAGTTTCCTGGAATCTTCAAGAATATTCCAGATAGTCTATTATCTAGTACTAGTTAAAACCCTTAGCTTGCTCATGTATGAGGTAGTGGGAAAGAATATTTGGGTATAAAATATAAAAAGACATTATGCTGATTTGTCCTTGGTGAAAAAATTATTCAATCACGTTAACTTCCTTGCTAATTGTAATATATATATGAACTTTTTTCCCCAGTTCTATGAATGAAGTTGTACATACATCCCCTACAATAGGAAGTAATGTAGAAGAGATAGTGATTAATAATACACGTTTCCTAATGTGGGATATTGGTGGCCAAGAATCTCTTCGTTCTTCCTGGAACACTTACTATACTAACACAGAGGTAATGTTTCTTACTGTGCTAAAAATTCTGTGAACAGAATACTTGGGAAACACTAGATTTGAAACCTCATAGTTGATCTTTTTGAAAAATTACAGTATGTTAATATATAGTGACTTTAAGCATAATGAAGTCTTTGATTTCCTATTTCAGTGTCATTGCTGAATATATCTATGATCATTGAACCTCTGAAGGAAGAACTGGTGGTTGATTAGTCTGATTCTATAATTATCCCAGAACTTGTCTTAAGTAGTTGTTTTTATATTGACTTCCATCTCACAGTTTGTAATTTCATTTCTCTCTTACTCTGATTCCCTGAGTAGGGAAAATCCTAGTTAAATGAGAGGGTTTGACTCTTAGCCAAAGCTTTACAGTGTATTTTTTTTTATATAGCGCAATTGCATATTAAATAATTTTTTCCTGTTGAATATAAAGTATTTTAGGCATTATCATATATTTTTATTAAAACATTATTTCCCAAAAGAAAATTTCTGACTTATGACATCTGAGTACTTCATTATATAGACCTGTAAATTAAAAGGCTGTGACAGTGGTTTTTGTAGTGCTCTTTATAAGTTAATTTAACATACTCTAAATTTAAACAAAGCTGTTTTTTGTTTTGTTTTTTTTGAGTTGGAATCTCACTCTGTCGCCCAGACTGGAGTGCAGTGGCTGCTCCCGGCCACCGCAGCCTCGCCTGCTGGGCTCTGGCTATCCTTCCGCCTCAGCCTTCCAAGTAGCTGAAACTACAGGCGTGCGCTACCACGCCCGGCTAATTTTTGATATATTGTAGAGATGAGGTCTCGCGAAGTTGCCCAGGTGGGTCTTGAACCCTCAGGCTCAGGAAATCCACTCACCTCAGCCTCCCAAAGGCGTGGGATTACAGGCTAAGCCACCAAGCCCGGCTCAAAGCTGATTCTTAAAAGTCATTAGGATGCTGTTAAGTGTCTCTAATAACCTGATTTCCCAACACTTCGTTAGGCATTTTAACTATGTTTTTTGGAGAAGGAAAGGTATGTATGGTTATAAAGATGTAAAGATGGTACTCCTGCATCTGATGCTATAGGTATCAAAGTCATGCCAACAACTTGAAAATTAACAGCTTTATTATAATACCTTAGAATAAAATAAGTCTTACAGTAATAAAACCACCTATCAGTAAGCTACAACTGAGGGAAGAGGCAAAGTAGCAATTCTTTCATTCATTTGCCTTTTGGTTGGTGAAATTTGAAGAATAGAAAGGACTCTGAAGATCATAATGGTTTACTTAGAAATTAAGACCTAGTTCTAAAAAATAAATAATGTATGTTAATAATAGGCGGTCCAAATTAATTTGGGCATCATAAATGGCTGCCTTATAAAGTGAGTAAGTTTACTCTTCATCTACTCCTATTCCCTTTTGCATTCTGGTGCTCATGGAGTTGAGGAAGAGGAGCAGTGGAGCTCAGTTCCATTCAGCCTTTGCAAGTCTTCCGTTGTGTCTTCTGATACCAGTTCCATTTTGCTTGCAGGTAGCAGGTGCCATTAATATAAGCAAGCTTGTTTTTAGATACAGATTTTTTCAATTTGTAGAATAATATCTATCTGGAAGTAACTTAAATTTAGAATCATAGTATATTTTTTAATTGGCTTCTAGTGCTAGTAGTTGGATACAGGCCCATTAGCATTTTAGATATTAATTTAGAAAACAGACGTGTTATATATTGGTTAGACTATTAATATCATAATCTCTTTAAAAATTATAAATATACTTGAATTAGAAATTACCAGACCCTTAGACTTCACAATGTATGTAGTAGATATCTTCAATTCTCCAACAATGTCATACGATTCTAATTTCTTGATACTAGCCTATAAACCAAATAAACACTTTATAAATTTTAAAAATTAGGTAATCACTAATTTTTTTTTGTAATTATTTTAGTTTGTAATAGTTGTTGTGGACAGTACAGACAGAGAGAGGATTTCTGTAACTAGAGAAGAACTCTATAAAATGTTAGCACATGAGGTAAGTAGTCTTTTTACATTAGATGTGGGGGAAGGGTATTTGTATTCCATTTATTCCTTCTAGTTTCTCATGAGGGTGCTATTTCAGATTTTTAAAATAATTAGTTATCTGTTGGCCATGCCTGCTTTATTGTTTTGACACTTCTCAAATTGGAAGTGTACAAATATCTGAAAGCTGCAGAATGATTGTTGAGTCAGTTGTAAAACTTTATTTCACTTCTCCTAGATAAATTTGTTTTAGAAGTTTTCCTGGGCATGAAGAATTCCTATAAGTGACTTTCATTTTGCATTTTGAAAAGATTGATTGTACCAAGGATTATCATTAGAAATATGTTAAAGTACCTGAGTGCGTAGCAATTCTTGATTATCACTCAGGTAGCAGACTAATATTTAAATGCAGTTGCTCTTAGGTTTCTCTGATACTCCCTTAGACTAAACAAAATTATATGGCTAGATATATTTTCTGAGTCTCTGAAAAATATTTCTGTGACATAAGTTAAAAACTGAGTAATATAGTCAATTTGGTAATAGAAAATATAAAATTACATAATATTGTGCTGACAGTTGATTATTTTTGAATGCCTTTTATTACAAATGCTACTTTCTTAACTTATATTTATAGGTAAGACTGTAAAGTTAATACTTAGATGAGAATTTTTTTATTTTAGTGGGATTTTCGTAAAGCTTAAGAAAATTGAGCTATCTTTGTAGTGAAACTTTATGTTAATTTTAATATTGATTTGATGATTTATTTATGAGATTTGCTTTAAGAATTGTGATATGTTTTAGGCAACCTTTCGAGACTTTAAGAAACCTAGTGAAGTCTTTTTTTTGTAATTTAAAGTTCCTCATTTTCCTTGTGATCATGGCCACCAAAATGTACCTTTTCCTGTTTTGGACTCTTAATTCTGATGGCTGTATTTGAACCTCCTCAGGTTTAAAAAAAAATACATTTTGCTATTATGCATTCATTTGCCAAGTTCCAATTCTAGTTTGGGATATGAGGAATAACCCATCAATGAAGCAGAAGACCAAGGATTTTTGTTTTTTCCTTTTCAACTTTGTGTTTTTGTAAAGATGCAAGATTCTTCGGTTTATTCTTAAAGGGTTGTTTTACAAAGACCTTGGAAAAAGAAAAGGACATGTAAATATTTGTCTCTTGGCTATATATATGTATTTTTTGAATTGGAGTATTTTTTACTCTGTTAACAGGTAGCCTCCCTATTTGACTTTTATTCTAATCCGCCAATATGTAGCAGGATCAGTATATGAAAAACCCAATAGTAGGTTCAGACAAAGCCTGCGAATTTTGCAAGCTGAGGTTATTCATTTGGGTGAGTCACTTAACCTAGTCTGTTGGTTATACTGAAGCCCAGAAAAGTTATATAACTTGACCTTAAGACCAGAATCTGAATTTAGGTATTCTCATTCAGGCTAGGAGAAGAAAAAAACAAAGACCTAAATAGGGCCTACTTGCAAAGTGAAAGAAGACTAAATGTGGAGCTTATCAGAGAAGAAAGGAATTACAGATGAAGTTGTTAGCTAGAGCAAGCTACTCAGTAGGGTTAAGAAGAGCCAAAGGCTGGGCACAGTGGCTCAAGCTATAATCTTAGCGCTTTGGGAGGCCAAGGTGAGGGAATTGCCTGAGCCCACTGGTTCAAGAACAGCCTGAACAACTTGGCGAAACCACATATCTACAATAAATCAAAAAATGAGCCGGTCGTGGTAGCATGCGCCTATAGTTCTGGCTACTTGGAAGGCTGAGGCAGAAGGATCACCTGAACCCAGCAGGTTGACGCTGGGGTGGCGGTAAGCATGCCACTGCACTTCAGTCTGGGTGACAAAATGAGACTCCAAAAAAAAAAAAAAAGGAAGAGCCAAACAGGCAGAGTTCTGAGGAGGGACAAATGGATTAAAGATTGAGAATTAAAGTTTGAGAAACAAATTGACAACTATACATATATAGCATATAGAAAATGCTAAATAAATGTGTCTTACAGCTGCTGTTGATCATCTTGACTAAAATAAAATGCGTATTACACTCTTTAGAACAGAAATCTGTACTATGTAGCAGTAAGAATTTTAAAGTATTTGAAGTGGCTTAAGTACAAAAACTCATCATTGTTCATCTTATACTTTTACCTCTTGCTAAGTTAGTAAACCGCCTTAATTCAGCATATCTATTTTTTTACTGTCATAATGCATAGTTGTTTGAGATTATATAATAAAAAAGATTTTCCTTTCTCTCTTCCTAAATATTTTTAAATAGGTAAAATAGCTTAAAAACAAAAAGTCAAGAACCCTAGATTTTAAAAAGTGAGCCTTTGAGAGCTAGAAAGAATTACATTCAATCTTTTTTAGACCTTTCAATAATTGGCTTTGTTTCTTGTGTTTTCCAATTTTCAATCCAAGAGCTTCTACAAATAATTTTGTCACTAAGAGTGATGAATACAAATTACTTTTAAATCAAATAACATAAACTATGTGTCTTAACATGTACCAAGTATTTGTGTTAGAAGTTTGTTCTTTGAACATGCCAGCATTAGCAAACCTGACCTATAAAAGACTTCTACACACACTAGCAAGAGATACTGAAACCTAGAAGATAGGAAGATAGGAATTAAATCCTATGGAAAGTCTATCGACTTAGTGACTCAACCACATATCAACTATTGATAATTATCCCATTTTCTGTTTAGGAGAAGAGAAAAATATTCACAGTATATCCTTAATGAGTATATATGTGCAAGTTACAGTATATCCTTTCAGATTTTTTGCCTTTTATATATACAGGTGAACTGAACTGTAGGTGAAACTAGTTGAACTTGAAATCTTAAAACTGCTAGCATTCTAGCAATACTGTTATTATTCAGGTAACTGTATTGACTGTGGTAGCATTAATAGCTGCCATCCTGCAGAGGGCACTGTAACTAAAAGTCAATTTGATTGTTACATAAAACATTTTGCATAACTCTCTTTAACCAAATAAATATACTAATAATTTTTATTTGCATCAGAATCAAAGAAGTCATCAAAATTATATTCTAACAAGAGTAAAATAATGTGGAGCAAGGTCTTTTTGTACCTACTGAAAACTATTGCTTTAAACACATATACATATTATTAAAACCAAAATAGCTCACTGAAATCCCTAAGAAAAAGAAAGTATTCAAAACAGTAGAGAAAATTTGCAAGTGTAGCATCAAAACCTTTGTTTTGTCAATGTCTCTTAATGTATATAGGCAGAATTTATGAGCATTTAATTCACTAATTGAATGTATCCTTCATGTATCTGTGGCCCAGTATTCCTGAAAGGAATTTAGGGTGTCTATTAACATCCTAAAATTGTTCCTGAACTGGAAAATATTTTTTGTATGTATACGTATGTGCTTTTTTTTTTTTTTTTTTTGAGTTGGAGTCTCACTTTGTCGCCCAGACTGGAGTGCAGTGGACTCTCCCAGCCACTGCAGCCTCGACCAGCTGGGCTCCGGCGATCCTTCCGCCTCAGTCTTCCAAGTAGCCAGAATTACAGGCATGCACTACCATGTCCGGCTGATTTTTTTATTTATTGTAGAAATGAGGTCTCACCAAGTTGCCCAGGTGGGTCTCGAACCCACGGACTCGCAATCCACTCACCTCCGCCTCCCAAAGTGCAGAATTATAGGCTGAGCCACCGAGCCTGGCTATGTGTGTGCATTTTTATGGGGAAAGGTTACTAACTTTGAATATATTATCAAGGAAGTCTCTGGCATTTAAAAGTTTTGGGGTAGGAAGGAGTGGAGCAGAGACTAAGAACCTTTGGCCTGTTTTGTGAGTAAAACATCCTAGTCATTTGGGTATGCAAATTTGGAAAAGGGTTAGTGTGATTGGTGTCTTGCTCAGGTCAGATACCCAGTAAATGTTAGTTATGAGGAACAAATTCAGAAAGTTAAAAAACTTGCCTCTGAATCATACACATAAACCTACTGAACTAATACATAAGTGATAAGTGGTAGAACTTCTAATTGGGGAAATTTGTTAAGTTTAATGTTAATCCAAGATGGTTCAATTGTATATTCAAATCTAATACATTTTTATGGATAAAGATAGGGATGTTAGTTAGCACGAGTAGGATTGGTTTAGAATAGCCCTTCAACTGGGAATTAAGCCCTAAGACTTATATGAATTCATTTATTTTCTGCGCACCTAGAAGGTACTAGCTATGTATATAGATACATATACATACAAATACATAGCTAGTACCTTCTAGGTGCATTGTATGTATATGCAATGTAGTCACTCAAATAATTTTCTATAGAGCTTAATTCTCTTGCTGAACCCTAGTTAGGAAAGGCTGGTTTAGGAGAGTAGACAAAAGGGAATACATGCAGGAGAAATGATTTGAACAACATAGAAATAGTAATGCCCAAGACTGTTTAGAAAGCAGTAGATAGATTGCTAATTAAAGCAGTGTGTAGAGCAGGTGATGTAAGGTCAAACAGAAAAGTATAGGGAGGGTAAAATTTTGGAGAGCTTTTGAGTGCTCGGCTAAAGGACAGTTGTTAGTAGCCGTTTAAACCTAGTTATGAATTGGGGTGGTGGGTAGTATATATTTGAAAATATTACTGTTATACCTAACCCTGAATTGTATCCCACATCTTTATAAGAAAAAAAGTAAAAAAAGAAAATATTACTGTTAAATACAGCACTTAGGACTATAAATATAGTATAAGACTAGAAGAAATCTGTAAATATATACAAGTGAAGTTTACTTTCTATCAACCTGTGAGATGCTTTCTATCAAGCTGTGAGATGCTTTTATATCAAATAGTTGAGAAATTCTAGGTTACTAAGATTGTAAAAAATATTCTGTTAATTACATTGAAAAATACGTGGAAAAAATGTACTGGCCTTTACAGTTTTATCTGCTTTAATAGGACCTAAGGAAAGCTGGATTGCTGATTTTTGCTAATAAACAAGATGTTAAAGAATGTATGACTGTAGCAGAAATCTCCCAGTTTTTGAAGCTAACTTCTATTAAAGATCATCAGTGGCATATCCAGGCATGCTGTGCTCTTACTGGCGAAGGGTAAGAAGTCTTCCTCTTAGATAACATGTTTAGCTTAGAAACATGTATATTATCTTAAAAGTCATAAATATTTAAAGATATTTTGTAAAACACATTATAAGGGAGAGGTGAAGGATGACCATGTCTATAATCAGAGACATTTTGGAGTGGTTCTGTAAGTGACCAAGCATACAAAATAAGCAAAATACCCATAAACCTACTGAGCTAATACATAGGCATATAACTGATATAGTTGCTGTAGAAGCTCAGAGAAATGGGAGTGTCAAAAAGAACTGGAGAAGTTAGGAAATGTGTCTTAACCATTTGTGGTGGAAGTTAAAATGTGACGCTTGATGAACATGTCTTGTGTTTGGAGTGCTTTTAATTCTCATAAGAATTCTATAGAATAATTGTCTTTAAGTCATATTTTATGCACAAAAAAGCTGAAATAGAAGAGTATGCATGTGCAAGACTAGTTTGGGGATACTTTGCCACAAATGTGGTCAAGAGGGAGTTGTTGCACTAAAAAAAATATTGGAAGAATTGAAGAGAATGTAACATGAGGGTCCTTGGGTCTGGAATGACAAGTGGTAGAGGAGAGGTGGGTGCCTACAGTAGAATTTTGCCCTGGTCTAGTGCCTAGAGGTGGAAGTATTTCAAGAAGTAGGTGGTGTGGTCAGCATTATCAAATGTAAGGTCGAGGACCAGGAAGATAGAGTACCACTGAATTTAACAATAAGTAAGTAAATTTAATCAGGTAGTTGGTCAGAACAAATTCTGTGAGTGTCAGGTAAGTGTAAGTAAAGAGGACGTGGATTTTAGGAAACAAAAATAGCATTTGTAAACTCTTGAGTGTGACAATAAGAGGAAGGAGAGATGAAATAGAGGAGTTTGGAAATAAGATAAAAAGCTAAAAGGAAGACCAAGCTAAAGCAAGGTTTTTGCTTGATTTTCCAAAATGTAAAAGTTCTGCATATACGGTCATGCACCCTGTAACAATATTTTAGTCAATGACAGACCATAAACACCAATGGTGATCTCATACGATTAAAATACCGTTATGTTTACTGTACCTTTTCTTTGTTTAGATATATTTAGGTACAGAAGTACGGTATTCATAACAATGCACGTCTCAGGATGTGTAGCCCATTGTTAAGGGGTGCATGACTGTATTTTAAAACAGAGGAAAAAGAATTATATTAGAGACGAAGGATTCGCAATAGAGGTCTTATATTTTGGGTTGAGGTTCTGGAAATGTTAGGAAAGGACAAAAGCTTGGGGCATAGATAGATGGATTTGCTCAAGTGGGAGAAATTCTTTCCCTTTTGAGACCATTATGAAGAGTGAACCAATATAGGGAGTTATTGAAGCCAAATCTTAGCGAAATAAAAGGTACTATTACAGACACTTGGAATAGCATAATTAGAACCTTAACAAAGCAAATCTGCTCATTAAAAAAAATCACAGATGATACCAATTGTCCGTGTATTCATTTAAGTGAAAATACATTACATATTTCTTTGTCAGATAGTTTAATACATGTCGAGATAGATATATGAGGGAGGACCAATAAAACAATTTATTTATAAAAAATTGTGTATTTATTCTTACATATTTAAACTTCAGTAACCTTCAAAGTTCTCTCCGTTTGATGCAATACTCCTATTGAGACACTTTTTCCACTGCTCAAGAATGGTTTTTGAACTTGTCAATTTTGATGTCTTCTAGTTCTTTTGCCATTTTTTGTTTCACCTCTTCCACATTGGCAAAACGTTTCCCTTTGAGGACTTTTTCATCTGGTAAACAAAAAAAAGTTGCTCAGGGTGAGATGGCTGAAGAGGGAGGATGGGTTACGGGGGTCATGCTGTCTCTGGTCAAAAACTGCTGAATATTCAGTGTGGTGTGGGCAATTGTGCTTGTATATCACCCGTCATGAAATGGGCAAACATGTTGAAAGAATCTCCAGAAAAAATTCACTGACACTGAATACAGCCTCTCACAATACTAGCTGGTATACTAATGCTGATGGGTTCCTAGAACACTTACCTAGCAGGGAAAGCCTGTACTATAATGGGTCCTCCCTTGTAAATCTTTTGTCTATCAAGCAAAAGCACTGATTATAATATTAAATTTGGCAATAAAGACAAGTCATCTATGATTGACATAAGATTTAATTTGTATGCTTTGATAATTGAGTAATTTGTAAAGTGTATCATTAGTTAATAAGGATATGAACTCTATTTTAAAAAGAAGAAAAGCAGTTTCATTTGAAAAAGTGGAAAGCAGCAGATGATGGTATTTTCACATTTTGGTTCACATGGTCTTCTGTTTGCAGCAGTTAGCAAGTTGAAATGTTTGGTTTTAAGGGAAATTTTAAGGGAAATGTTCTGTTTCCCTTCTACAGTCTGACTACCTTGGCCTAAATTTTTGGTTTTAGTATTTATTGGTTGGCATTTTGATGTAATGGGTTTGAAATCACAAACTTTGGAGTGTGGTCTCATTTGACTCCCACTTGTGCCATTTGCTAACCTTGCCAAGGCTGGGTTTCCTGTGTAACATTGGAAAGGTTCTGATCTCAGTGTTATGACCATTAATTAAGATAATGGATATTAAGTCCTTAGTACACCACTTTCTAGTTGCTATTAGGTAACTACTGTTCATTTAACTGGGCTCCGGCGATCCTTCCGCCTCAGCCTTCCAAGTAGCTGGAACTACAGATGTGTGCTACCACACCCAGCTAATTTTTGATTTGTTGTGGAGATGAGGTCTCGCCAAGTTCCCCAGGCAGGTCTCAAACCCGCAGGCTCAGGCAATCCACTCACCTCAGCCTCCCAAAGGTGCGGGATTACAGGCTGAGCCACCAAACCCGGCTTATTTACTTCTTATTTTTATTATTTTGTACTATTTCCAATCAGTAGTTTAAAGGTAAGAAATTTAGTCATAGGAATATAGGCCAACCACCCCAAAACAATTCATTTATTTGCCTCATTGCTGTCTTTGTGTGTGTGTGTGTGTGTGTGTGTGTGTGTCTTCTTTAACATCATTAAACTTAACACAAAAATTTGAGACTTTTTTATTTTTATAGCATAGCTTTTTCTGTCTACAGCTCATCATAAATAATAGTTAATGCTTTATAATAGTTCTTTATTTTGTTGTAACATGATGTGTACATTTCTCTCTTGGTATTCTTTCAGTTTCATTTACCACAGAGAACACCCCTTTTGATATTTTGGATTATGTTTCATTACTCATTGCTCAGCGATAACTGGTATTACTATTATGAAATTTTATTGCCTTTAGTTTTTTGTTTGTTGTTTTTTTTTTTTTTAGTTGAACTCTTGCTCTGTCACCCAGGCTGAAGTGCAATGGCACAATCACAGCTCATCAGAGTCTCCTGTGTAGCTATGACTACAGGCATATGCCATCATGCCTGGCTAACTTTCAGATTTTTTGTAGAGACAAGATCTCACTATGTTTCCCAGACTGATCTCCAACTCCTAGGCTCAAGCAGTCTTCCCCCCTTGGCCTCCCAAAGTGTTCATATTACAGGTGTGAGCCACCATACCTGGCCTCAAGTTTTTTGTTTGTTTGTTTGTTTTTTTTTGAGTTGGAGTCTCTCTCGGTCGCCCATACTGGAGTGCAGTGGCCGCTCCCGGCCACCACAACCTCAACCTGCTGGGCTCCGCGATCCTTCTGCCTCAGCCTTCCGAGTAGCCGGAATTACAGGCTCAAGTTTTTAATATACAGATGTAACATACAAATTAAGTGTATGCTTTGTTTCAGCAACTCTACTATATAGTTAATAACCTGACATTTTTACTTCATTTATGTCATGAACATTTTATATCAATCGTTCTTGAAAGGAAAATTTTCAATATTTCATTAATTTATGTTCCATAATTTGTTTATTTTTTTCTCTATTTCTAGACATCTGAATTCTACTTTTTACTATTGAAAATGCTTTAGGGACTAATCGTATGTAAATCTATGTTTATTTCTGATTTTTTTTTTTATTAGGGTCTCACTCTGTCACACAGGTTGGAGTGCAGTGGTGCAATCACAGCTCACTGCAGTCTTGACCTTGTAGGTTCAGGTGATCCTTCTGCCTCAGCCTCCTGAGCATCTGGGACTACAGGAGTGTGCCACCATGCCCATCTTTTTTTTTTTATTTTTTGTAGAGACGAGGTCTTGCTATGTTGCCTAGGCTGTTCTCAAACTCCTGGGCTCAAGCGATCTTCCCACCTCAGCCTCCCAAAGTGCTGGGATCACAGGTGTGAGCCATCACACCAGGCCTATTTCTGATTTTTTTTTTTTGAGTTGGAGTCTCACTCTGTCACCCAGACTGGAGTGTAGTGGCCACT